TTCTGCTGGACTCTACTGTGTTTTTACTGGTGTCTAGTTTATTCTGCTGGACTCTACTGTGTTTTTACTGGTGTCTAGTTTATTCTGCTGGACTCTACTGTGTTTTTACTGGTGTCTAGTTTATTCTGCTGGACTCTACTGTGTTTTTACTGGTGTCTAGTTTATTCTGCTGGACTCTACTGTGTTTTTACTGGTGTCTAGTTTATTCTGCTGGACTCTACTGTGTTTTTACTGGTGTCTAGTTTGTTCTGCTGGACTCTACTGTGTTTTTACTGGTGTCTAGTTTGTTCTGCTGGACTCTACTGTGTTTTTACTGGTGTCTAGTTTGTTCTGCTGGACTCTACTAGACTCTGCTGTGTTTCTGCTGTAGTTTAGTGCACTCTGCTCACCTGTCTGAAGCTCTCCAGGTAAATGTCATTGTCAGGTCTGTGATGTCATGCTGCGTGCTGATTGGTTATTGACTGATTAATTATTGAGTTTTTGAAATGTTTGAAAACAGTGAAGAACACTCAGGTCGCTGTCAGCAGACGTCTCATCATGTCCTGTTAACAGCAAACTGTCTGTTTGTCTGTCTGTCTGTCTGTCTGTCTGACGTGTGTGTGTGTGTGTGTGTGTGTGTTTCAGGTGCGTGCGGAGCTGCAGAGCTGTGTGAGCCGTCAGCAGGAGGCACTGCGCTGCAGAGAGGTGTGTCTGCTGGGACAGATCGAGCTGCTGGAACAACTCAAGACTGAAACTCTGCAGCAGCAGCTGCACCAGCTGCACTGGGTAACTGCTCACTCCTTATACTGGGTGTAGTGGTTACTGCTGATGGTAACATGAGTCTCCATAACCTGGGATATTCTCAGTTTACTGGTTGTTTACTGGTTGTTTACTGGTTGTGTGTGGTGTTTCAGCTCAGAGGTCAGTTTGATGTGATCGTCCATCAGCTGCAGAACTCCAGCAGCAGCAACGACCTGAGCAACCAGCTGACCAGCTGCTTGGAGAGGTAAACACACACACACACACACAGACTGACTGAGTGTTTGTTCCTAATGACAGTGTCTGCAGAGACTCTGTACAGACATGTCCAACAGTCAGTGTTCAGCTCTCAGGAGACAGAACAAAGATTAGAATGTGATGATGATGATGATGATGATGGTGATGATGGTGTGTGTGGTGTAACAGCTGTCTGTGTGTGTTTTCACCCTCTGTGTGCAGGTTGTCCTCTCTGAGTCTGACTCCAGAGGAAACGCCTGAGATGAGTTTCCACGCCGACACTCGCTCTCTGAGGCAGGCCATCACCTCATTCGGCCGCATCACAGCTCAGGTAACACGCGCGCGCACACACACACACACACACACACACACACACACACACACACACACACACAGGTGCTGTGTCTGGGGACGTGATGTTGATCAAGGGTTTACTGTACGTCCTGTTTGCAGCTGGTGGAGGGTGTGTCCTCTCAGAGCACCGCCCCCCATAGAGGTCAGGTGCAGAGCTATCCAATCACAGCCAAGAAACAGGTAACTCCACCAATCAGGTCACCTGTGAAACATCAGACTGGACCAAACTAACTCCAGTGTAAAAGTGTGTATAACATCAGTACAACGTTAATGTAACATCAGAATAACGATAATATAACAGTTAACATTAATGTAACATCAGTACAAGGTAGCAGGTCGTGTGTGGAGCAGAACAGTGACATGTTGTGTGATGTGTCTCTGATCAGAAAATGGAGGCCGGAGCTCTTGGTGAATGGCTGCTGGGAACTCCTGCAGCAAGCAGCACTCCTACTGGTTACCAATCCAGCAAGAACCCTCAGGATTGGCTGATGGCACACAAGGAGAGCAAGGTGAGAGGGAGAGACGGCCACCTGAAGTCAGATGTGACGTCTTTGAGTGATGTCATCAGACTGAGTTTTAAATGGCTCTGTGTTGTTCCTGTTGGTCACATGACTTCCTGTTTGTGTGTGTGTGTGTGTGTGTGTGTGTGTCTCAGACTCCCTGTCCCGCCCTGGCCTCCATGGACTTCCTGCAGGCCTGGGGTCAGCTCAGGGACCTGGAGGCATGGCTCCTCCAGGACCAGAGCCCAGTGAGCAGGGAGCGGACCGAGAGCAGCTGCAGCTCCTCCTTTTCCATCGAGAAGATCGACGAATCAGAGCTCGCCATCTCTACTGAGGAGGAGGACGAGCTGAGCGACTGGCTCATCACCCCGCCTTCTGTTGCTATGGAGACCATGTCAGATGCTGAGAGGTGGCGCCGGGTGTTGAAGCCATTCGAGGACAACTGGTCATCCACTGATTGGCTGGCGGGGCCCAGCCGCCCCCCCGCCGACTGCTCCTCTTGCTGCCAGACCTCCAAGGCCCTGGAGATCGAGAACCTGGGCCAGCTCAAGTGCCTGAAGACCCCGCCCACCCCCAGCCCCGCCTCCAGTCCCACCTCCAGCCCCGTCTCCCCTGACCCCCCAGCGGCAGCAACCCTGGAGGCGTGGCTGCAGCAGGTGGTGCCAGTGCAGCAAAACTGCAAGGCCAACGAGCCGTGCTCCACCTACGCCGACTGCGTCTGTGACGAGAACTGTGGGAAAGAAGCCCTGAGCCTGTGGCTGCTCCGACAGGACGGACGGGACAAGAATGGGGTCCCTGTAGCCAAGAACGCCCCGCCCACCGCCAAGAACGCCCCGCCCACTGCCAAGAACGCCCCGCCCACCGCCAAGAACGCCCCGCCCACCGCCAAGAACGCCCCGCCCACCCTGCACCACAGGGAGCAGGAGCAGAAGGTGAAGTTTTGTTGTGAGCCTCTTGTTAAAACCAATCGCCTGCTGATGTTTGTTGACAGTTAACAGCTTCCTGTGTCCCCTCAGGTTCAGGCCATCCTGCAGGCCTGGCTCCACCCCACCAACACCTCCTCCTGCAGGACTCCTCTGCAGGCTCTCACCTCCTCCTTGTCTGGCTGGGTGGCTCCTGAGGTGGATAAGGCCAGCAGGGAGGAGCACAGCTCCTCATTCAAACCTTTCTCCTCCTCCTCCTCACCATCTCCCTTCCAATGCCCTCTGGATCCAGAACTCTGGGTGCTTCCAGGACAGACTCTGGGGTCAGGAGGTCAGCCCCGCCCACCAGCAGAGGAGGACAAATGGCTCCTGAGGAAGAGGAGTCAGGCTCAGGTAACAGGACCACTGAGACCAATACAGACCAGTACAGACCACAGACCAGTACAGATCACTGAGACCAGCACAGACCAGTACAGACCAGTACAGATCACTGAGACCAGTACAGACCAGTACAGATCACTGAGACCAGCACAGACCAGTACAGACCAGTACAGATCACTGAGACCAGTACAGACCAGTACAGATCACTGAGACCAGCACAGACCAGTACAGACCAGTACAGATCACTGAGACCAGCACAGACCAGTACAGATCACTGAGACCAGCACAGACCAGTACAGACCAGTACAGATCACTGAGACCAGTACAGACCAGTACAGATCACTGAGACCAGCACAGACCAGCACAGACCAGTACAGATCACTGAGACCAGCACAGACCAGTACAGATCACTGAGACCAGCACAGACCAGTACAGATCACTGAGACCAGCACAGACCAGTACAGACCACTGAGACCAGCACAGACCAGTACAGATCACTGAGACCAGCACAGACCAGTACAGATCACTGAGACCAGCACAGACCAGTACAGATCACTGAGACCAGCACAGACCAGTACAGATCACTGAGACCAGCACAGACCAGTACAGACCACTGAGACCAGCACAGACCAGTACAGATCACTGAGACCAGCACAGACCAGTACAGATCACTGAGACCAGCACAGACCAGTACAGATCACTGAGACCAGCACAGACCAGTACAGACCACTGAGACCAGCACAGACCAGTACAGATCACTGAGACCACCACAGACCAGTACAGACCAGTACAGATCACTGAGACCAGCACAGACCAGTACAGACCAGTACAGATCACTGAGACCAGCACAGACCAGTACAGATCACTGAGACCAGTGTGTGTGTCTTGCAGGAGCGTCTGGCGCTGCCGTCCGTCTGCGACCTGTTCTCCTGTATGAAGATGGGCGGAGACAAAGACAAGTGGCTGCACAAAGCACCTGAACAGGTGAGTTCCCATCAGTCCCTCTGTGGTGCAGTGTCCCTGTAATGCTGGTCCTCTGATAACCCAGAGTCTGTCCTCCTCCCAGATGTGACGACGCCGACAACGTCCATGATGATGATGATGGTGGTGGTGGATGCTTCTTCTTCTTCTCTCCTCTGGGAGTCACTTTATTATCGCTGATCAGCGCACACGACCACAACAATCTAACCATCGCCGCCTTCTCTCCTGTGACATCACTGCGCTGAGCTGCCGCCCGCCACTCTCCTCCAATCAGGATCAAGAACCCACTGAGGAGGGAAAACCTCGTATCTGCTGATGTTGTTCATGAGGAAGATGATCGTTGAGGGGACGTTTGTGACTCGCAGCTCATTTAAATTTAAATATTTTAACTAGCGCCTCTCAGTGGCCAAACGATTTGATGATTTCAGCGTCTGTAACTTTGATTTTATTTCTGTTTGTGGAAAACGTTGAGCTTCAGTTCATCATAATGAAAATAATACATGTCCCAGAATGCATTTCATCAGCTGATCCTGACAGGAGGAGAGGGGGGGGGGTTAACAAGTGGTGGGCGGGGTTAAAGCTAGATATAAAGTAGCCTTTATTTTAATGGAACTTATTTTATTAAATCTGTTTTTATGATTTCACTTCCTGTAACAGAAGCTCTGTTTGGGTGGAACGTTCCTTTTTTTTCTTCTTCTCTTGTTTTCCTGTGAAACTGCTGAACCGCAGAGATCTACTTCCTGTCCAGACTGCAGGATGACCGTGACTCATCCCTGCAGCCGTCTGCACACGCTCAGTAGTGTGGACGAGTGTCGGGTGCAGTACTGTGAGTGACCAGAGGAGGCGCAGCGCCACTTCTGATAATGTGTTTATCAACACATCGTTCACTTTTTATTAATAACTCATATCATTATTAATAACGAGAGGAAACCTGCAGCTGTCGGAACTTTCAAATTAAAAGCCCCTGGACTTTTAAAAAACAGTGTGTTGGAGCCCTGAGCTGAGTCTTGCAGGCGTCCGTCACTGACTGCCTCTAATCTGAGCCACTTGATCGGTGGACTGAGCTCAGGGTGAAAATCTACAGAATCAGAGGTGGTGATTTCCCAGAATGCCTCAGGTGGAAGCAGCCTGCAGTCTGTCAGCAGATGGGTCACATGACTCTGCGGTCAGCAGTGATTGGTGCTTTTTATTGAAGCGCTGTTGTGATGTTGATTTTGTTGGGGGGGGGGGGGGGGGGGGG